CGCAAGCAAATGAAGGCTGTTGATGCGCAAAGGGTGGTGTAGGAGAAGACGGCTAATACCGGAATTTAAATGGGAGAGGCCATCAGTTGTTGCGAGCGCAAATGAAGGCTGTTGATGCGCAAAGGGTGGTGTAGGAGAAGACGGCTAATACCGGAATTTAAATGGGAGAGGCCATCAACAAGTTGTTGCGAGAGCTGTGCAAGCTGCACATGGATTCAACGCTGTCTTTTATACCAGGACCGCAACCTGTGAATGTAAAAGATGCCTTAGTCTAATGAGGGAATCTCACCAGCAACTCTAATTTACATCAGATGGTTTATAGGAGATGGCATCGGTTGGTAGTAAATAAGCTACGCACTTCGCGCAAAAGAAGACAACTTTCAACAACTGTCAAGATTATTTTCAGCGAACCACGTCCATAATGAAAACAACCTAACTATTGTCCACTTGGTGAAGGAGTGTGACCGGTGTCGTCAGAGGTTGACTTTCAGATGATGTAAACGAATGAGGAAAATTCGTGGTAGCGATAATCCCGGAGGTGAATGCTTTTCAATGGATGCTATCGTCAGTATTTAGGTTCTCTAACCCTTATCTCCTGAGAACAGTAAATCAATAAATTGATTCTTTCACTTTGCCCATTGTGTACATCCTCTTTGATTACATCCACATCTTTGGAAAAGTGAAAGTTGCGGCAACAGGAGCTAACCTGGTCTTCATACATGGCTTTTAGCTTAAAATGTGATTTAATAACAGTCCTAATGTGTAGTGGGTTTTGTACATGCTTGCTAGGAAGAAAGGACATTGTTTCCGAACAGCATAAAAACACGCTTGGATCGTTTCTGAGGTGAGGTAATGGAGCATTTGATTATTTTCCCGGCACGCCATCTTTTTCAAGAATATGTGCAGAAGTGGAGGGGAAATCAGGGAAGAAAACCAGGCTAAATATAATGCACACATTCAACATAAATGGACCAATAAAGGCTACTATTTTGCCATCAGTTGTGATCAGTCAGACCGGTGCAATGAGAGCAAAAGAGGCCAGAATTGTTCTGACCAATGGTAGGGCTTTAGGGACCAAGTATCGTCAATAGCTGACAGTGATTGGTCTTTTCACCATTCCATTTCTAGCACTGAGTCTGACTTACCATCAGCATTCAAAATTTTGCTATCGAACCAACTAATCTTGTCAATAACTCCACGCTTGGGACGGATGATTACATTGACGGGCCTAAAACTTTGACTTCTCTCCTGAAACAAATTTGCTAAATTGTGCAACATCTTTGTAGCTTCATGATTTCAAAAGTTGCGATAAACACAAGTGCTTTGTCACAATGATACAATTTCTCCATCATTTCACCACTACAGAATGCAGTGGCAAGCCGAATGAAGGAGGAAGAGAGCAAAGAAAATCCGAAGAAAAATGTGAATTTCCCCGAAATAAAGTATGTAATATAGACGGTTTTTCTGACAAATTTTTGCGAGGACTTGTCTATTCGAATCGCAATAAGAAGAAGCTGGAAATTGTGTAGGTCCATCTTATTGTAAACATGATTTAGAAAAGTCCTCTTTTTAGTATTTAGGAAAATAGTCCAGTTGTCCGTATGCATGCCTCGGGTCATTCGTGGTTTGCTCTGTTCTGGAACCAACACAGCAAATATTCAACTGCCCTCCATTATCCTGTATCTCGGGGCTAGATGGCTGAAGTGGTTAGAGCGTGGGTTTACCGACCGAAAGGTCCATGGTTCGAATCCGACCTCTGTCTGTTGATTTCTCCTGTCTAGGCTTGGGCAACCTGACAGTATCCCAGCCCTCGTACTTCCTTCCGGTGGCATGGCCGCTACGCACCGGAAGGGTGTTACAGCCATTATCCCGTATTAAGCTCATCAGAGCCGCAAGTCCGTGGCCAAAAAACGTGTATGATAAATAGTAAAAATATGGAAAAATCAATATTCCCTGCCTTCAACTCGTTATTCGCGAATACATTGAAATGATTCTCAGCCAGTGTTTAATGAGTTCAATTAAAGATTGAAGAGAATATTTACTTAACGGACTGGCTTAAAGTTACTTTGAAAGCAAACTGGGTGCCGCTGACGGACAAAAGCTGCTCGGGTGTTACATCACTGCCAAGTTTATTTCAGGGACTAACTTGGACCAGGTCACCAAACCGTCTTGGGATTCTTTCATCATTGAAACTACCGATTTTTAGATCAGTCAGCGTGCTAGTTCTTCTTTCGTTAAAGCTATTCGTCGCACGATCAACTAGTTTAAACCAAGGAGATCATTTCGGTATAAAGTGAATTCTTTAAAGCGACATTTTATGTCCTTCAAATTTCTTATTTTTATTAGCAGTAGTAAATATGTTTATATCCGTATAGCCTGTCACCGGCTCCCACCATCGATCTTAGGTACCAGAAAATATGGTTCAAGTCGAGATGTACACGTCTTGGGGCCATTTGAGCCCATCAAACACAAGAAGTTCTAAGTAATCTAAAACGTTCACAACGTTTTGGTAAGCTGAAGTAGGCCGGATGTGGAAACTTTAACAACCCGATGCTATCAGGTGAAAATGAAATCATATGAGCTTGCAGACTGAACCGACTGGTATCTCAGCGGGTATATTTGCACACTTATTATCACCACTGATTGCCACAACTGCTGAGAACACCGGTGCTTCACTCCTGTAGGTTATTTGTAAGTAGGCCGCGGTACTGTCAGGAGACCCAAGTGGTTTATCGTGTAGGAATCAATAGTCTATGGTGCATAATCGCTCCACGGAACTACTTTTGAGGATGACTGCGTAGTTGGGGGATCATCTTCAGTGTACTCACTGATAACAGCCATTTCTGATTAGTTCGTTTCAAGAGCTGAAAGAATAACTGGTCATTCAATCCTTCTCGTTGAATTTGCCAATCAATACCATGCATTTTACGTTTGCCTTTTTATGACACTTAGGCCGTTGGCTCCTGTGGATCGCCGCAGGCGAGTTTTTCAATCGTTGATCTACAACACAGGGATACTGTTATCCGTTTGATTGATTTTATGATTACACCGTGGTCTGTTGCTGCCTTGTGGAACAAAGACACCTTAGCTTATTTGTGTACGCGGGGCAGACCTGCACGGGACCATGATTGAACAGCGTCCCTCTAGAATAGTAACCATAGGTAACCAAACTCATGGTGGGCTGAGGACACCCTACTGACTGTGTGTGATAATGAGCTATTTAAACATACTCCTCATATTACCTCATCATAGTATCCAGGCCTATGGCGTGTTACGAGACTCTGGACTGGTAGAGTAATCTGCCTCCGTGAAAACATCTTTGTGTTCATATCTTAGGTGGAGAACAAGACCTGTCTATCATTCAACAGTAACGTGTATACTACGTAAAGCGAGAATCTGTTCTCTGTCTGGGTAGACAGTGTCAGCCAATTCATGAGCTGTGCGGCAGAACGAAATGCTGATTTTTTCGAAAAGATTGTCTTTCCTCGGACAACAAACAAAGTTTGGCCCTTTGGGGATTTGTGCTTTAAAATCTACAGGGAAGCAGCCTCTACCCACAAAGGTTTAGCTTGATGTGAGCGATGTCAAACAATTATCATCATGATTTAAGTGTTTTCAGTTATCTTGTTTCTGCTGTTCATTTTCTATATATATACGATGAGAAGTGATGATGCCCCTCGTTGTTAGATAAGGACTGGTCAGCCGGAATCGTTGGGAACAATTGGACCGCAAGAAAGTTGGAAATGTTGCCTTGAAGGAAACCACTGTTTTTAATAGCCAATCTCCGGATCTTACCTCCTTTTCCCCGTCAAGTGTGAATTTTCACTAGCACTTCCATCATAATCTGTCCGCACTCCGCTGTGCCCCCGAGATGTCATTTGGTCGCTCTGAATAGTTGTTAAAGACGGAAAGTTCTGTTGTGAGTAGGCACATTCCACTTTGGTGTCTCAGTGGAGGCAGGAATTTCACATCTGGCGTTTAACATGGAGATAAACTCTCCCTTGATGACACTTAGGGGTGTCTTGGAAGGCGTCTAAAGGCAGAACACGGCATTTTCTCAATTTGCTTTCATGAAAACTGCCTTTCTCGCATTTTTACCGACAATGCCGATAAACGCTTCAGCTATGGCGCTCCGCATTTTTGTTCCAATTTACCTACCTCCATATCAGAATCACTGCAGCCGACTTGGGCAAAGAGAAACTAGCCAAACTTAACTACAGTGACAAGTGGAAAGATCTGCCTTCAACGATGCGCAAACAGCTGGAAGAGCTCAAGGAACAATATGCCCTCAAGTTTCAAGATCGTACCGATTACCAGCGACAGTAAGCAATCAGTTTTAGCTTTCAGCATGCTAGCTTTCTTGTGTTCACAGCATTACTAAAGTATGTATAAATGCCCGGCTTTGTATTTTTCTAAAAACGTTTAAAAAGTATTTGTTCAAAAGGCACTAATTGTAAAATTGCAACAAAAATTGGAAAAATCATACCAGTTGACATCTGTCGTATGAGTTGATTTAACTTCGATCGTTCGTTCGGCATATTCATATTCCAAAATGTTACCAGTATAAAAGAGCTAACGCAGATACTGGAAAAGAGTAGTCATTTGAAGAAACAACTCAAACTCGTCTATTCTGAGGGTCGTCGACCTGGTAAAGTTTTATTTGTAAACACATCTTTGGTCCAGTAACTCCCAATTCTTCATAACTCTTTTGTCAGTATTTCCATTTCTGCAGGAAAATTGAGTTGCTGTTCTATAGGTGAAGCCAATCTATGCTGAGAAGCCGAAAAGCGCCGCTCACCTGTTTCATTCCTATTGGGAATAATCAGACGTACTCATGTCACGAAGCTTCAGAATCTTGAACCCCTTGGCTAATAAAATTAAATACTCAACCGTTTGGTCACCAGCGGCTGATCAACATTGTGATTATCTGGCAAACAGACAAGATATAGCGCCACCTATTCTCCACTTACCGAATCCGCATCACTTATTTACGTGTCAACTGGCTTCTCGAGTGACCATGGAAATTTCACCCTACACCTTTTAGCTACTCACATAAGTCATTAATATTTCAACGGGATTGCCTCCTTGCTAGAGGGCTGTCTAGCAAAATTTAGGCCACATGAATTAAACAGTACAATACTTTACTCACTGGTTCACAAGTTTTCTCGCTGAAGTGATCACTCACAGGATTTTCACAAAATTCTTGTGCGATGCTCGGAGATAAGTTTTCAGGACCGATGCTTTCTTCTTACGTTGATAGCGTTTTCTATTCAGGGCAAATACTAACCGTAGGAACAAATCCTCCAGAACGCTTACTCTTCTCAGAGATGTCTTCTTCCTTTGAATCAAAATTACCTTCCCGAAACTAGGAAACAGTTGCTTGATCTTCGTCCAAACATTAGAAAAGAAACCATTCAGCTACTATACGCTTTCAGTACCCAGCTCCTATGCCACCCGAAGTACTAGAGCTGAGATACAGCCTAATTCCTCAGACGGGAAGAGCCGAGGTGCAAAGTTTGGGTGTGGACCACAGACCTCCTGGTCAGTAAGTTCGCCGCTTAACCACTGGAATATCTCAAGCTGTCGCACCTTAGAAGCCATCTGTCACTTAGGTGCTTTCTTAGGGGGAAAAAACTTGACGGATGTGGTTATCCTGTATTCTTTGACCAATACCTGAGGTCAGCGTCAAAGGCATATTCGTATGCTTCCCACGGCCGAACTGTTGGTCATCTTTCCAGACTCATCGTCATCCCAGGGACAATGGATTAACTTCGTTCAGGAAAAACTAGAGCATTCACAACCTTATTCTTAAGTGGAACCCAGGTAAATCTCTCGGTTTTTATGTTTGAAGGCAACTGAATGTGCTGCACCAGGCCGCTTCATGTTTCAGTCGCTACGATATTCCAGATATCGCGATACATTTATGTTTTCGTAATGCACTACTCATGAGGTTGCTGGAAACTCCTCGATAGCCCACCTCTCTTGGGGCTCATCAGGTGGGCGCAGTCCCCGAGTTTCCTTCAACCTTATGTTCTACTTAAAACCAAGTTGCACGAAATCAGCGAAATACACTCATTTGCAAACTGATTTGTTTTTTCGAGAGACTCACCTGGAACCCAGCTGAATCTCTCAGTTTAGATGTTTCCAGGCAAGTGAATGTGCACATCGAGTACGCACCAGATTAAATGAGTTGATGTCTGGGGAAACCATAAGGCCAATAAATCAAATGTGGAGTCTACTAGGGGAGTCCACTTATAAGTGCGCTTAATGACTCTTAAATTATGTGACCAATTCGGACCCACCCCTGGTATACTAGTGAATCAATTTTCTTCCATTAATATATGATGGTGTTACCGTAGTAGCGTTACTATAGTACGATTCCACAGTAAATCATCTTGTTTTTATCGTTACTTACACAATGTACTCGTGATCTGCTCTTGCGTTTTAGTACTAGTCCTAGTAAGTACTGAGCTTGTTGAAGTTTCGCTTAATTTTTTAACGTGCAGAAATAGCTAAAAGCACTGCCCAGTTGGGTCGTTCTTCTCGGGAACTGCATTGTACATCTCGAAAATTCTAGGGCACTGTAGACCCCAATATTCGACCACCGATGCCATGTCTGCTCCAAAGCTTTCTGAAATTAGAGAAGATACAAGACCCTAATTCTTCAGTCAGGCAGTTCACGGCGGTGGTTCGGTGTTCACGACCTCGGATGGGATACTTATGTTCCCTCCGGTGATACTCTCTCTTAACTGGATGTCTTATGGTTCGCACTTACTAATATCTATCCGTGTCCTTTCTAGACTACGCACCAAAGTGTGTTTGGCCAAATACCAGACGATTCCATCTAACGCCCCACTTCATCTGGCCATCAGAGACATCCAGCACAAAGCTCCGTATGCCGACGCGTTGGCTGTACTCGCTAAGCAAAAGGCAGAGTACAAAGAACTATCTCCTTGGTAAGGACACCACCATTACTTCTTATTAATACATTATGTGTCGCGCATTTTTTAAGTTAAAAACCTCCGGTGGATTCGAAGACAAGTTCGTTAGAATTTGGTTGACTCTAAGTAAACCGGGAACTCTCATGTGCCCAACATTTAGTATCATATTTTTTACACTTTAGTAAAGCTTCCTGAAGTCGCTCTGCAAAACGTTTGAATAAATCACGAATTTGGGATTTTAGAGTTGATTCTGCAAAATTTTGGGCCGTTAGAGCGCTAAGTATTTGTTCATATGGGTGGCTGAAATAAATCTAAGCTGAAACAAAGGGGAATAGATACACAGTTTGTTTCACATCCAAAACAATGAAACTGATGAGTTAATGCCAAAAATCACTTGAGTGATGAGAAAACCATCCATAAAATGCAGAAGTGAACGGGAATATTCAAAGGGTGGTTTGTACACCTAGCTCGGAATGTCTCTCGTTTGTGAGGTTTTTTAGGAAAAAAAACAAATTAGTTTGCAAATGAGTGCATATCCTATGGACATTCTTCGTTTTCGACGTGTCCAGACTACTGGCCAGAAGATCGCGGTTTTGAAACCCTCCAGAGTTTCGTCGGACGCACACTGTCGGCGACATGTAATGAGGATAAAACAACAGTAGAATGTTTTTTGGCTGTTTGGTACAGATTGGCTTCACTAACAGGTTGAAATTTTCTCCGAAAATTACTGAAGATTCAACGAAAACTGAAGACTGCCCAGGACTTTCCGATATGCCTATTTGAACATGGCGAATATATTCAAACAAGAGCACAAATCTATGATGTAGAATCGACCGGTTATATACTCGTTTTCAATGAGTTTACATTCACTTTCAGGTATGTGGATCTCTTGGACGAGTTGGATGGATTGCAATTCGACAAGAAAATCAGCACAGCTGTCAAACGATTAAAATATTACGCACAGGTGAGAAATCAATTTGTAAATACGAAAATGCTTCGATCGAATGTTTAACGTCACCATGTCAAATCCTTCTAAGAAAGTCACATGCCCGCAACTGAAATGATAACTACTGATTCTTTCAGATAAGTAAGTCAGTTCACCCGAGGCTCCAGTTGGCTCCAAAGGACAGAATCAACGACTTTTGTCAAAACTTATCAACACTACTGTTTTTGCTTAGCTTAAAAAAATGAAATGATTCTTTCAGATAAGTAAGTCAGTTCACTCGAGACTTCAGTTGGCTCCAAAGGACAGAATCAATGACTTTTGTCACAACTTATCAACACTACTATTTTTGCTTAGCTAAAAAAATGAAGTGTTCCCGAGGACCGAATAAAATTGTCTGTGAGTGGTCTTCTTACATTACATTCTTACAGAACTTTTTGTTTGCCCTTAAAATTCAAATTCGAAAAATATACCCAAAACGCAGTTTCCAGGCTATGATGTTTCATGTATTACTCGGTCGATAATGACCTTCTGATAAATTCGACAACGACATCCCATACATTAAAAAATAGAAATACAAATAAATTTTTAATCAAAGCAAAATATTTGTATCAGGAAGGTCAGATACCTGAATGTAACCTCAGAATGCCCGAAACCTACTGCTCCACCAAAATTTCAACAGGAAAGCCGGCAAGCATCCAGGCCAGTCGATTATTCAATCAATTCAGCAAAAGTTGAAGAGTGTTCATGCACGCCACAGAAGCACAATCGAATGTGATCAGCGTTCAAGTATGTCATAGATGCACGATCGATGTTGATGGGTGTTCATTAACGCCTATCAGACAGCCTGGATCAATGTCAGAAAGTCCCCTTTGAATAGCGTGAGCCGTTGTAACTTTTGCTCTCTCACACTCGTTTGTTCGGAATATAGCTATTGTGTTCCCTTCTGTGAGCCTTTTTTCCGACAACTAGGTACTAGGCAGATACCACGGATTTACGAAGCAGCAGATATAACAAGTTGATAAACCAGGACTGCTCCAATCAACTTTTCAAACTGATGTATTAGGATTTCGGACACTTCAGGTTGCTAATTACTCGATCTGTCCTCAAACTGATATCCTTCACCCAGCTACCTTTGCGTCACTTGCATCAGCAGTTCTTCATCGGTCAAGGTCTTCTAACCCTCAGCACTCTTGCCTGGTTCTGGTTACTACAGAACCTTGTTCGTTTCAGGACGCAAACTAATAAGCAAATGTTCCAGAATAACACTCAAGAAAGTCCCAGGGTATGCCGCGTTTTACGATTCTGAAACCAGCCGAGAGTTGGCTTGTTCAATTATGGAAGTCGGTCAAGTTAAACCATAAATCTATCTTCAGTTCAATTCATTGTATTCGCCATCAGCTGCACTAGTGACAAAAAACATTTCAAAAAACAACTGCCTCAATAAATATGTCCTCAAATTTTCAATATCCTGGAACGATGAATTACATTTGGCATGAAAATGTAAACCTAAAAGTCAGAAAGATCTACGGCGCCAACATCCGGCAGTAGCGTACTGGTGGAAACGTTCCTCCATGCGAGTAAACGGAATTTGTCAGAAATCAAATTCCATTTATACAAGCTCGTTTGGGAGGGCCATGATGGTCAAAAAAAAATATTCTCTATGGACTTTTTCGCCTTTGTGGTTATTCCTAATCCGCTGTTAAGAATACTTCAAACTAAACAAATGAGGTTCCCCAAGGTCGACCTCAATTCCAATCAGTTCATTAAATCAGCTTTACAGTCCTACTTAATTGAAGCTACTAAATAATCACGAGAGATGACTAAGTCGCTACCTTCTGGCTTGTGGAATCATTTTCGAATCGCACCGTCTTGTCAAGTGCACAGATTTTGTGGAGCACCTTATTGCGTTCGTCTTAAGTTCTACCGACTGAACAGCCAGTTTCGTTCATTGAGTGGGCTGCATTTAGAAAGTCTACCTCGAAAACCGGACACGTTGATCATGGACGGAGCATCCGCCTGTGTGCCGGATACCAGAAAACAGGCGAACGGCCATTCTAGGAGAAAAGCAGCCGAGGATGAGTTCCCAGATTCACAGAGGCCAAGGGACGAACACATTGTTACATTGAGACACATTACCGTCTTATTTGTCATAGAGTGTCCGTCCTAACTGTGATGAACTGTTATGTCAGAACAGAATAAGGTAACCACCTGCCTTCTCTCCACTCAACGGAGAAAGCACATTCGTTAAAAAACCTCAGCTAATTACTGGTATACTTCTCCCTATTTTTCGTGCTTTGCGAATAAAGCTACCCTCCGGACAATTCACTGTTCTCCAATTCACTCGAGTGCTGCGTTCTTTGGAGCTGTGGGAACTCTGTCTACCGATGGTAGCTGCTGCGACCGATTTCATCCGCTCACGAATCCTTGATATGACGCTGGAAGAATATGTTGATTGGCTTCGTAAAGTAAGTTCAAATTAATCGACGCAGACTGTGTTATTAACTGAAGCCTTCAGCACACGTGACCAATAAGTGACGTAGTAGTTGTGCCTATCCAAAGAAAACAAACTTCCCTGCTGACTAATTATTTTAGGCGAAGAAAATACAAACTTCCCAGCATTTTTCTTTGAATGCAAACTGGGTTCTCCAGCTAACAACAAAACATACTTCGTACCAACTGAAACTGAGGCGACCTGTGTACAACTCATCCAGTTGTAGAATATCATTAAGGAGAGATTCAGTTGAGTCTCTCGTGAAAAACAAATTGATTTGCAAATGAGTGTATTTCTCGAAAACAGTCCAAATTAGGTTCAAGTAGAACATAAGGTTGACGAAAACTTGAAAATTGCGCCTACCTCATGAGCCCCAAGAAAGGCAAAACTGGTCGTGGGCTAACGAAGAGTTTTTAGCAACCTTGTGAGTAGTTTCCTTTATGCAAATTTACTAAGATATCCCGATTGTGGTGCCAAATGAAACATGAGACGACCTGTGTACACCACATTCAGTTGTAGAAACGAGAGATTTAGTTGAGTCTCTCGTGAAAACCAAATTGATTTGCAAATGAGTGTATTTCTTGAAAACAGTCCAAATTGGGTTCAAGTAGAACATATGGTTAACGGAAAGTCGGGGTCTGAGCCTACTTGCTGAGCCCAAAGAAAGGCAGAACCTGTCGTGTGCTGTCGAGAAGTTTTCAGCAACCTTGTGAGTAGTTTCCTTCATGAAAACCCACTTCAACTTTATCATGAAGCCAGTACCCTACGTGAAGCTCTGTGTAAAAACAAACACATATTTGCATATGTTTGCCTGCACTTTTCGAGATCATCATGATTTAGTGGTAACTTAATAGTCCGAACTTGCTTCGAACCTATTATTCCCCGCTTTTTGTAACTGAAGTGCGCTTTTTTCAAAGATTTACGGATGATAGAAATGGAAAATATGAAATTATTAGCCTGGCGCGAAATAATCTTGATTATCATTTTACCTTTGGTTGAACATAGTGACCGGAGTACATATGTGCCTGATTTCGGCAGCGTGGGGTTCAGTAGCGCTCACTATGACAAGATACAGCACCACTCAGCGTTCAGTCACGGAATTGATAGCAGGCGGTCACACCTTGACTGGCTTCTCATGTAACGAATTCTCACTGTGTCCCGAGCTGACAGTTGTCCGCAGTAGTATGGGTAGACTTAGTCTTCTACTTCCGTTCAAGAGCCTACGTCCGAAACCCCTGAGTTTGATAAGGTGCGCCCTGTTGATGATTCTCAGTGTGATGATCACACCTAACTGGTCTTGATTCATCGTGAGAAGATGGTTCCCACAAAAAATGTGTCTTGCAGAATGCGCAAAATGCTGTCAGTTTAAAGAGTTCCCTTCTTTTGGGAATCTCCTTTTCAATCTCGCTTCTGTGGCATTCAAGCCCCTCAGGAACGACTCCGAATTCCGGCAAATACCCCCGTAATGCTGAATTGCAAATTTGGGGTCATAAAGTAATGGTTGTGGTGTGGTACCGAATGCTCCCGAATTCCATTAACCATTGCGTTTTGAGCGAGGATTTGTCTGAGTGCACTACATGCATTTGTGCTGTTGGTCAGAAGAAAGCTATTTTTGAGAGGCTGGTTCACACACAGTAGCATGTCAATATTTTCTGAACGTTGATTGAAAAGAGGATTATAACCCAAAAAACAATTTTTCGTGGAATGAACTCATCAGTTAGTGGAAGACATCTAATCACCCTTTGGTCACCAGCTCCGAGGAATGTTGCTGACCAGAAAAAACTCGTGGAATACCAGAAATCTGTGAAGCAAAGCTATGATTATCCCTTACTTCTGTGTACATTCGACATGGAATTATGAGAACGTCGGGTGGCGGTGCTTCGTGATGTACATGAAGAAGGAGCTTGGTTCCTCATCAACAAACTCGCGTTCAAAGGCAATAAAGATCCGACAGATTCAGCAGCTGTTGTCAGTGGATTTTAAGAGTGCTGTCTCGGCCAATTAAACGAAATTTCTGAGGAATTCCACTTTTGTCCAGGGTCAGTTAACACAGCAGGGCATTGATAAGTACGCTTTGTGGCTAAAAGATCTTGTTAAGTCCCGTATCAACAAAAACCGAATTCAAGACCGCATAACTCAGGAGATTTGTAAAAAAAATGGATCACGAAAGGACTTCTCAAGCGCTTATTCCATCCGGACTTGAGCACATCAGTATATATCATCTGACTCCTACCTTCGAGACCAGTTGATATGCCTTCTCCAGGTTGAAATCTATAGAGTTTGAATGGCCATTTTCCAAGACCGTCATCAAGGCACGCCTAAACGCGAGAAACTCCAAAGGTGGACAACAACAAAAACTCTTCCTGATGAGAAAGGAAGTTGACCTCAAATGAGGTATTTAGGTTCATTGCCATTAATGGCTATAATTCTGTTGAGTGTCTTTGCGAAATATTCCTCGGTTTTTTCCGACGAACTAAGTTATCTTCCAGAGGAATTCAGCTTGACCGTCGCAGATATTTCTGAGTCAATAACACTGTCGACAAGGAAAGGTCAACTAACGCCTTGACCTGCAGCGTCTGGGTACCACAGAACTAATTGGCGATAGGTCAGGAAGCCGTTGGATTTTGTACTATTTGCGAACATCAGAAAATTCCCAATGGATGTCCTAGGAAACTTTCACACCCCATTTTGCGACTGAACCTCGAGAGCCAGAGCCAACCAAGCTACCGAACGTAGCGCGGACAACAGCTTGGGTGTGCGGGGAGGAAGATTTACGATCTGATGAAGGCGGACGGAGCAGATATGGATAACTTTATCAAACACCGAAGGATGCGACATATGGATGAATACTAGCAAATTATATGAGCCTGTGCGTTTTGAAAAGAAGGGTCGTTTGAGTACACCAAATGCAGTTCTGCTAATGCTCTGGCTATTTTTCTTTCGTATGTGTTTAATTCCGCATTTTGATTTTCACTGAGCGTAGTGCGAATGGAGGCTAACCTGGCGATGAAGCAGCCTTTTTGGATAGTGTTTTACTTGTATGTATATGAAGATCAAAGTTCGAAATTTGCCCAGCGAATTTCGGACATTATTCATCAAAGATCAAAATTTGCCCAGCGAATTTCGGACATTATTCAAGCTATCTGGTAGAGAGGTCCTGACAGACGAGTCCATGAATCTGCGCGTCCATGGAAGTTACTGCGTCGTAGTTTTGGAGCGCTGGATGGACCAGTCACAGAGGTCAAGGAAGAACAAGTTCGCTTGTTCGGCCATTCCAGAATCACACGTCAGGTGTATGGGGTCCAAATCTCGGCGTTACCAAAAGCTTGAATCGCTGATGGGCTACATCAAAACCGAAAATGCGGTCGTGCCACGTTAGCGACAGGGTGGCTTAAGACAATGGAGGAAGTATAGAAGATCGTTACTCCATCTTGGCCCAAAATAAAATTTGCGTTTTGCTTTCACTTTGCCAGAAGAGTGTCAAACGATATGTGTAGAAATTTTAACCGTACTTCTGCATTATCTGGAATTTATACCCGACAAAGTGCTTTGCGATTTCAAACTGAACTTCAGGTTTTACTTTACCGGTCTTACGACCAGGAGAACTGCACCTACTTGATATTTTTATAGACACGAATCCGCGACATGTCGCCCCTTATTGTCACCCTTTACTTACTTCTGAGCAAATAGAAATAATCTGAAGTCACATTTCGGTACTGGATGAAGAAGGTTTCACCCTAACCGACTTGATATTCCATCAGGAACTGGATATCAGATTGATGCTTTCTGTGAACGTTTTACTCAGGCAATGCTGGAAGAGCATTACATACATTTAGTCCTGTAAGAACGTCTCTTGGTACTGTGACAGTGGACAGTGTAATACCACTTGGAACATCTGATCACACGCATGCTGTGATTATTTAAAGTCTGTGTTATTCCAATATGTGTGTTCCTCATGGATGAATTTGAAAGCCGAGCACTAACTAAAGCTATATCAGAACTCGTCCAGATGTACAAACCATATATTTTGCATGGCTTCTGAGAACAGCGAATTGCACAATGGTTACATCCAATTCAATGCCTTTAGCACACTTGACACCTCAATCACAAAAACCACAACGCGGCGATAAGTCCTCCTCTCTAAACGTGTTACTTACCAGAAGAATCGATAGCGTTTTCCGCAGTTGTACTTCCCACGGGACAAACCCTCTTCAAGATAAAATAGAACACATGGCTTTCTTGAGTTTAAGTAATATATTCCGATATCAATCTGGGATCTAAACTCGGTGTTAAAGAAACATAATTACCCTGGCGAGCTTATTTTAGCAGTTTACGGAAAAAGTGAAGTGAAATATGACCCATTTCCGGGGGTTGGTTTTAAAACAGTCTAAATCAAAATGCAACTTGTCCCGCGCGTATAAATTTCGATCGTATTTAAACAGTTGCCCCAGAGATGTTACATGAAATGAGTGGATGACTGGTGAACTCGAGCGTATTCATTAGGTCACCTGGGACGACTGAACCCACGTGATAATTTCAATCGACCAGTAAACATCGATCAGTAAAACGATCAGGGTGACCTACAATGAACTAAACATAGGCGAGGTTTGTAGTGAAGGCGGAAAGTGAGCAAAGTCGTGGTATAACACGACTAAATGAAACAAAACAAAATGGTCTGTTCCGCAAGGTTGACTCAACGTCATTTACAAGCTGCTTCTGGAGGCATAGCAGTAGTTTGAACCTTGTGCTTTTCCGTTGACATCTACAAGACTGGGTTGATATCATGATCACTGTGTGAAATATGTCTAGCTGGCACAGGATGTACTTTGAAATTCAGATTTCTGGAACAATTGTTTCACGTGTTCTGTGACTGGGGTCCTCAACTGCCTGAATGTTTAGTCTGTACGTCCGAATCCACAGACAATAAAAAGATATTTTTGTCTACGAATCTCGCTGGATAACCGTTGTCATTAGTATCCCTGAGTAGATGTACATTCTGCCCTATGTGTCCGAAGTGACAGCGGGGGAAAAACCGGTCCCGACTGGGACGTGACCAAATGCTGTCTCTGCCAAAGTGAGAGTTTTTCAGATGTAGCCGAAAGATGACCTATCGTTTTGCCTGCTTAACATCTCACCCAGGTATGCTGGATGACCGAAGACTTCAACTGATTGTGGTTACTTTTCAGCAATTGCTGGGATTCCCGCGTCTGACCATGATTCGGGCACCGATCTAGCGTCTAAATATCACGAGTCTCTAAAGTTGATCCTATTCGGAAACTTGTGTGTAAACTGGTGCACACCACTACTCCTCTCCCCACGCACAGCTGCGCTCAGTTTGACAAAGCATTGACCATTTGATGCCGACTAGTGACGAAAGGTATGTAGTAAAACTGCTAAGCTCAACACATAACTTGACGCGGATTATTTTTTAATTTCTGCTCTATATGGTTAATATCAACCAATAAGGGTTCTCCATCCTATAAAATAAAAGCTGGTTATGTTTTGCATAATTGACCAGAACATTTGCGAATATTGATTCCAAATCAAACGAAGTCATTATACCGTAATTTAATTGACGCTTGGTACTAATTCCATGAACTCAAACGTACCCATTGTGACGGATAGAAAATCAGCAGAAAGAGTTTTTGCATTTCTTCTTTCATGGGGTTGAACTCTTCCCGCAGCTGCACGATTTGTATTCAGCGCTGCTAAGCGTCGATGCTTCTAAACTTACCTGTCCTGCAAATTAGGAATTAAACCTAAAGTGGAATTGTCCAGAACCAACCCAGGATTGCTGCCAATTCATAAGTTAAAACTGAAAGTCGTTCACTTGACATAAGACGTTATTCGTGAGGCCGACAAAAATTTCTCGGTTGCCGGCGAACGGTTTCGCCTTACTTGAAGCTTACTAGGTAGGTGCAGACCCCGAGTTCCCGTCCAACTTGCGCTTTCTTAAACCCAAAATTTGACAAATAGGCTCATTCAGTTCCAACACCAAAAACAGCTGAATTCCTTGTTTATAATAGTCTCCAATCGAACGTCTTGCACAAGAGCCACCTCAGTTGATGTGATGTTCAAAATAGTACTGTACACTTTCTTGAAGGATACTATCTATAAGTTTGGTGAAAACTCTTCGACAGCCCATGACCGGTTTTGCCCGTCGTAAGAATCATCAGATAGAAGTTTCCGGTAACCCTATCTTCTACTGCAAAACCAAAATGAATGGTACGGAATGACAGAAAAATGTTTAAAAAAGTCTAACATTGTGTCAACTGAAACATGGGGCGGCCTTCTTGCAGCGCACTTACCTGAAGAATACCGTAAACGGGAATCTCATCCAGGACTCATTCGAATTTCCCCTAAATAACAGATGATTTGTAAACGAAGGTATTTCAGTAGCCAAAAAACTATCCAGTTGTGGAAATTGAAACTGACCATGTAGGCAATACTCTAGATGTCAGACTCTTTTTCCCAGATTATTTGGGCAGCACGTCACACTCCATCATCTTCCAATGTGACTATAAACGTCACACAAAGCGTTCTTTTTTCTTTTTTTTTTCAGACCTACTCAGAAATGAAGGATTTGGATCGTGCATGACAGATCCAAATGGGAATCAAGAATCAGAAAAGATATACTAAAAATCAAGTTATTGCTTTTCAAAGTTCCGTTGGCTTTATGTTACGTTCGTTATTGATGTAAGCGTCACCCTGGGATTTTTGTTGTTATATTAAAAGAGAACATGATCCCAAAGCACTTAACTCGGAGAACATGTGCTCTGGTATAAATAACTGGGGCTTGGGTGGTCTGAGGTCGTGGAACAGAAAAAAGTTAATGGAGGGCGAGTAAACTGTTTAACACATTCGTTGGTAAGGGGACAGTATAGATTATCAAACTGTACAGCGTAGGCTGCACCTGGTTGGTCAATAAGACATCAGCGATACCAATCACGTGCGTCTTCGATAAGCAACCCAGTAGAGAACGTTGTGTCTGCATTTGAACGACTCGTGGTCGAGTCGGCAATGGATACCAGATAGTTCCCTACAGAAAATGTTTTGCGCATATCTCTCACCAGCAAAACTCTAAGGTATAGTTAAAATGTCGTTAGTTGATCTGATAGTTAAGGATCTGGTCCCCGAATTTGATGACTGACCTGCAGATGTTTCCTCGTCACTCGATCGGAAATCATCAGTGTTCTGTTGTGATGATGTCTCATCGAATGATGATGACTAAACGCTTTCGCATTAGTTGCCACCTAATCAAATGCAGGTCTCGGAAGTAAAATACAATCAATCTATCTAAAGATGCACGGACCAGGCGTGTACCACTTCTATCATTGGCCTACCGATTCATGAAGAACAGATTGTGTCAGCTGAAAATCGATGTTTTTCCCTTCGAAGCGCCATCCAAACCCGTCATTACCTTCATGCTATCGAAGTAACTGTTATGGTATTCGTGGGTTAAACGGTACAGGAGTTATGGGATAGTCTATCAAAGTACATAGTGTTCTTCTAAGGGAACCTGCTTGAATCGTTGGTACACAAACTCTATGGGATGTAGAAATGAGTTAATATTCGGTGGTGTGCAACTAAGCGAACAGAAAAGGTAAGTCCCAATATGACCATGTCGATCAACCGTGGTCATACACCTATGCAACAAATCCTGATGAAGGGACTATGGATTTTCCGTATGATTCCAGTCGGCCGAAAATGTTCTCGAAAACGAGAGAAACATGCCAAATCTGCGTAACACCCTATCGACACAGTTAGGCCACAAAACGGTGCTCGAGTTTTCATTAAGGAAACTACTCACAAGGTTGCTGAAAACTCTTCGGCAGCCCACGACCGGTTTCGTTCTTCTTGGGGCTCATCAAGTAGGTGCAGTTCCAGAGTTTCCGTCAACCTTATGATCTATGTATTTCAGTTTGTTTCGGATATTTTACGGTCAATTAAAAATAGATCCAGTGACGATGCACTGAAGATAACGACAAGCTTGCCTGAAGCCGAAAAATGTTCACTTTGTTGACGAAAATCCTTCTTGGGGCTCATCAAGTAGGTGCAGTTCCAGAGTTTCCGTCAACCTTATGATCTATGTATTTCAGTTTGTTTCGGATATTTTACGGTCAATTAAAAATAGATCCAGTGACGATGCACTGAAGATAACGACAAGCTTGCCTGAAGCCGAAAAATGTTCACTTTGTTGACGAAAATCACTGAGCTGTTCCTAATGGAGTACAGGCAAAAATCCCACAAATTTACACAACTTTGTGTCAATAGGCTGTTGTCAAAACTCACCCAAAAGCAGGTCTCCGCGTTTCATATACGAGGTCATTGTAAACACCCGTCAAAACTTTCGTTCAATTCAGGAACTGATTGCCTCAGCTTTCACAGATTATACTGATTTGAGGATTTCCAAGTAAGCTGAAATCGGTCAAGTGCTGTCTGATTATTTTGTGAAATCACCCTATAGTACTTATATACAAAAGGCAAACCGCCAAAAGCATTTTAAATACTAGCTTTTTAGATATCAATCATAATCCGAACGGTGACGGTAATTCATTTTCTGACCAATTCTCCACCACGGTAGTATTTCTTATAAAATAAATCAACAGATAACTTCGATTTACCTGAGACTTACCAGCGGCAGTCAGGATATAAGTCAGAAAATGTAAGTGAAGCATATTGTTCGTCTATAGACGTAATACACTACTCATTAAGTTGATGAAAACTCCGAAAGCCCATGACCGGGTTTCGCCCTTCTTGAGGCTCACCAAGTAGGTACAGTCACTGAGTTCCTATCAACCTGAACCAAGTGTGCAAGAAATTTGCCAAATAAATTCATCTGTATAGTAACTTGGCTTCGAAGAGGGAGAACCTCATGAGCGAGAGATTCAGCTGGGTTCCAGGTAAGTCACTCGTAATCCGGAGACTTCGCCCACCTGATGACTCCAAGAAGGGTAAAACCGCTCATCGGCTGTCAGAGTTTTCAGAAACCTTATAACTAATGTAATACATCCATACCATTTATCATGAGCGAGAGAATATCGTACCAACCGAAACATGGGATGGCCTGGTGCAGCACATTCAGTTGCTTGAAAACATCACAAACTAGAGATTCAGCAGGGTTCCGGTGAGTCTCTCATCAAAACCGATTTGGTATGAAAATGAGTGCATTTCGCTATATTGTTCACCTTTTCCTCGCTGCAAACTAATAGTTGCTTAGTTCCAGCTCTTGATCCTAAACTGCAGCCGTGCATGTAAACGCATATGCGAACGCTTCTTGCTTACAGATAAGCTCCTCGTTACATCATGGAGCTTCCCAGGATCAGCTCGAAGCATATGAATTTACAAAAACATCATAATCAGTTGAAAACTAGAGGATAGCTGAAGATGATGATTTGTACATCGATAAAGAAAATGTTGTTACCTCGGGCTGTCTGGATCATCCTTGGTTCATTATGGCAGAAAGCGTCTCAAAACTTTGAGGCACTGATGACGTCGAATGCACTGATAACACGTGTTTGCTAGTCGTATAGAAGCGGTACAGCACTCATAAGGCTGTTGGAAATTTTTTGACAGTCCGTGACCGGTTTCGCTGTTCTTGGAACTCATAATGAGAAGTAGCCCCCAAGTTTCTGTCAACTTTATGATCTACTTGAACCCAAATTGGACAGATTTGCATATAAACTTTGTTTTAACGGGGGAGTCAGGTAGGTTCAATGTGAGTCTCCCGTCAAAACCCAAGTGTTATGCAAGTGTGTGTATTTCGCTCAAAGGAGAACATCTCTGGAGTTTCTCGTTAACCCAGAACCCGCAATACGTGCTTTAATATACGGTACGAGTCCTCACAAAAGAGCATATGTCAAAACAGCGCACTGCAACACATTCAGAGGGCTCAAGTTGAAAAAGAGAAAACCATACTCTGAGTTTTACGAAGATTTGTCCAGTGTGAAACAACGTATTGAGTTGCCTGGGTGGTCATTTCAATGGGTAAGCACTTTTATAAGCGAGCAATAGAATACAGGACAGATTGTCATAAGAACGTAACCACCGTGGGGGAGTTTATTACATTCCCTTGTGCACACCGCTTCTTGGAATGCCCCGAAAAAATAGTAAAACAGCCTAGAAACCGCATCATTTTTGTTAGGTTTATATCTTGGAAGAGTCACACGCGGACCTGCTTACCCTTACCTAGCATGCCTGAAAAGGCGCTAACGAATTTCGGACAATGATACCACCAGGTATATTTTATGCCCGTACGCCTACCGACTTGTCAACACAGTTTCAGTTTACGACTTTGATGCACTTTGCCTCCCCTGGATATAGCGGTTTTGTATCTGCGACGATGAAAAGCCCCCGCGCAATTAGCGCAAAAGATCTATGGTTCCTTCTCAGAATTGATCCAGCAAATACAATAATCCGCCTACTCGCGAGTAGCATAAAATCTCGCATTTACAAATGAATTTGCTTTGAAAAACACTAACATTATCCGTTTGCCATCTTAATATGTTGCTGCGCTGGTCAAGCTGTTTTCTAAGGTAAATCAAAACGAACTTTTTCAGATAATCCTCTTCAACTTCGGGTTGCTTTAGCGTCCAAATGCAGTCTCACTTTTGGAAGCCTGGGTGGTTACCAGGGCAATTCAGCATTTGATCGATGTGTGTCAACTTCCTGTAAGCCTGTTTGCAACTGCCTATTTGGCAACCTGTTGATGAGTACGTCCATAAACGCTATCTCTCCTTCGTTCTCTTCTTCTACTGCAAATTTACCGCTGTCAAAACTGTTGTTAGCGAATGCAGCTGCTTGTCAAAGTCCACTCTCTTTGATAAGGACGAAGGTATCGTTCACGTAACGAATCTAAAACCTTGGATTCATGAACTGATGAACAAAATTTTTACCTCTCTTATCAGTAAATCCTTGAAATGACGATCCTATTGTTTCACCCCGACTATGTTCTAAATGTTCTTCTTTGAATTCAAGATATGTGTTCACGCAAAGGTCAACCGGTTCGTGGGTGTCTTTCTTCATAAGTTCATTTATAAGTTTGTAGCTCCCACTCGCGACTGCTGACTTGCGAGGCACTCATGGCCACTGGTCTTAAAGTCTCCTTCAGAACGACCGTGAATAAAATTTGGCCACCAGCCCTTCCCCCAAAGAAGGTACCATCACCACTTCCATAACGGTAGAACACCCTAGGATCTTACACCCTACCAGCGAATCATAGAGGGTTGCTGGACGGTATCTTTTTTAATAAAAATTATACGCTACTAGATATGGCTAGTCAGTGAACGAAAATTTCTACCTTTCGTAGTCTGCATAATAATATGAAAACTAGAAAAAATCGGCCACTGGGTTGGCAGATACCTATTACCTTACCAAACAATTCCAACTGTATAATTAGGAAGACTATAATGGGGTAGCAATGCTATTCTCCTCAAAACACTGAATCTATCAGAACCAAGGAGAAACTATACTCTGATTCCATAACTGGTAGATGTAGTTTTCATCCTATCGGAATGAGACATAGCCATCTAAATGTGCCACCCATATTTTTTTCAGGTAAATGTGATTTCAGAGTTTATCCCATTGACGCAGGGGATACACAACTCACCTAAAACCTTCCTGGTGAGAGTGGATTTGACTTAGCCTAAAATAACTGGTAGATGTAGTTTTCATCCTATCCAGAAGAGACGTTGCCATCAAAATGTGCCACCCAGA